TTGCGGTCAATCAATTGCGGTCAACCGTTCGTGGTCAACCAGATCTACATAAATTTTAAGCCGTAAGTTCTCTACGTCAAACCTTTAAATCCGCTGCGCATAGGTTTACGTTTGCTATTGAATTCGTGATTTGTACATAACGAGATCCTCACAGATCCCAACAATACTCTCATTCCAATTTTATTTTTCTATACTTAAATTCTCGATATACTTACAAACTTTGCAACCACACATACTTCATAAAGAATGATTTATACAAAAATATATTTCAAATCAACTAATGAAATTATTATTGAAAATTGAGTCTTATTTCAAAAGGTTCATTTAATTGTTCTATTATTATGGAAAATTGAGACTTAATTCAAAAAGTTCACATGTTCTATTGTAGAAAATTGAGTATTATATCAAAAAGTTCATGTGATAAAATAAAGTTTCTCGCCATAGCCATTCACTAAGAATCTTATTAGTATAAAAAATCACGACCTCAAGTTAGTTTTCTTGATAATAATCATTTATAATTTTGGCTTCTTTCGAATCTACCTAACACGTAAATCTTTATTGAAATCAATTCATAATTTGAACTTTTGCATAATCTTTAATGTATAAGAATCACCTAAGATTAAAAGCATAAAATAAAATTATATATTAAAATAAAAAAATTATTTGAATAAATAATAATTTTAGGAGTGATACTCTTTTAAATACCAATTTTAGTGAACTTTGCTTTCACTTAGTATTTATATTGTAATATTGAAGTTTATAGTATTGTGCTACTATGCTATTCTCTTTTGAATTTTACTTTTCTATAATGAAATTCTCAATATAATTACATTTTTTTAGACTTCGTGATGAGTGATTTGTAAAAACTAAAAACATACGACTAAAAAAAAAAGATAAAAATCTTTTCAAATCAAACAAATGATATTATGTAGAAAATTAAATCCTATGTCAAAAAAATTATTTGGGAAAACAAAATAGACACATAATTTCGCGTCATTCATTAACGAGTTGTTGAGAGTTACTCGATAACTTGACAGAACATGATATGATTGGATTATACGGAGGTTGAAATTCTGACTAATTTGACAAAATATAAAATGATCAATTGTAGATGGTTCGGGCGTATTGTATAAAATTGCAGTGCATGATTAAACTAATTATATGTTTTTATGAAGAGAATTTGGATTCATGACAAGAAAATAGAGGATTTGGTGAGGAAGAATTTCAAACCAAGATTCAAACTTTTTGGTTGAGTTCACCATTTTACACATTGTGAAGCTTTTGTGTTGAATCTCACACGTGATCGTAGCCTTGAGAATTGAGTCATACATTGAAAAACGTTCATTTGAGAACCATTCATTACCGACAATCTTAGTATCTTGAAAGATTCAAACCATTATATCATGTAAATTTTCTTGATGATAATCATTTATAATTTGACTCTTTTGACTCTACCCATTAAGTATTTTGATCGGAATCAATTCACAATGAATTTTCACTTGCTATTTCTATGTACTAAAAATATCTAAGACCTAAAACTTAAAATTATATGAATAAAATCAAAATTTCATTTGAAAACCAAAATATAAGATTGAGTTGAAGTGAGATTCTCACTCATGGGAACCAAATTTATTGAACTTATTTTGATGTTCTAATATTGAAATTTATATTCTCATTCGAATTTTAGTTTTCTATACTTAAATTCTCGATACCCTTACAACTTTTGCACCCACACATACTTCATAAAGAATGATTTGTCCAAAAATATATTTCAAATCAACTAATGATATTATTGTTGAAATTGAGCCTTATTGAAATAAGGTTCATTTGTTCTATTATTGTGAAAAATTGAGCCTTATATAAAAAAGTTCACATGTTATATTCTATTGTTGTGGAAAATTAAATATTATATCAAAAAGCTCATTTGATAAAATAAAGTTTCTCACCATAGCCATTCACTAAGAATCTTACTAGTATCAAGAATCATGTGCTCGAGTTAGTTTTCTTGATAATAATCATTATAATTTTGGCTTCATTCGAATCTACCTAACACATAGATATTTATTGAAATTAATTCATAATCTGAACTTTTGCTTAATCTCTAATGTATAAGAATCTCCTAAGATTAAAAACATAAAATAAAATTATATGAATAAAATAAAATAAAATATTTGAATAAATAATATTTTTAGGAGTGATACGTACTCTTTTAAATACCAATTTTAGTGAACTTTGCTTTCACTTAATATTTAGGAGTGATACGTACTCTTTTCTATAACGAAATTTCAATATAACTACATTTTTCTTGACTTCGTGATGAGTGATTTGTAAAAACTAAAAACAAAAGAAAAAAAAAAAAGAAAAAAACACCTTTTCAAATCAAACCAATGATATTATGTAGAAAATTAAATCCTATGTCAAAAATTTTATTTGGAAATACAAAAAAGACATAATTTCGCGCCATTCATTAACGATATGTTGATAGTTACTCGATAACTTGACAGAACATGATATGATTGGATTATATGGAGGTTGATATTCTATCTCACAGAAACTGGGGGAAAATGGGTGCTGGCCCACTACCATGAAGGACACCATGAAAGAAGGGAAAAATCCATATGAAGCCCAAATGGGGTTCCATCCCAAAACCAATTGGTGGAAGGAGGAGTAGCCCATTAGTCTTATAAGGTGGGTCTATTTTCCATATATGAACGATGTGGGACAACTCACAAGTGATATTCTAACACGCCCCCTCACTTGTGAGTTCTTCGAGAGCCCAAGCCCAACTGGGCTGGGTGCCCCAAGCCCTACTACAAACAGGCTCCCATAAACGGGTACGTGGGGGATAAATAATGGGTACGTCATCACACGGTCCAAGATAGAACCGGCTCTGATACCATCACAGAAACTGGGGGAAAATGGGTGCTGGCCCACTACCATGAAGGACACCATGAAAGAAGGGAAAAAACCATATGAAGTCCAAATGGGGTTCAATCCCAAAACCAATTGGTGGAAGGAGGAGAAGCCCATTAGTCTTATAAGGTGGGTCTATTTTCCATATATGAACGATGTGAGACAACTCACAAGTGATATTCTAACACTATCTAATTTGACAAAATATAATATGATCAACTGTAGATGGTTCCGGCGTATTGTATAAAATTGCAGTGCATGCTTAAACCAATCATATGTTTTTATGAAGAGAATATGGAGTCATCACAAGAAAATGGAGGACTAGTTTTTGGTTTGGTTCACCTTTTTAACACCGTGAAACTTTTGTATTGCATCTCACGCTGTGACCGTAGAGAATTGAGTCGTACATTGGAAAGTTCATTTGAGAACCACTCACTAACGATAGTTTTAATATTTTGAAAGATTCAAAATTATTTATATTATGTAAAATTTTCTTGATGATAATCATTTTTATTCACCGCCCCCCTTATTACTATTTACCGTTCCCTTTGGACATTTTTGCCCTACCATTTTTTTCCAAAAAGTAAAAAAAAAAAAAAATTGTCCGGCCGCCGAAACCGGACGGCCCAAATGGCGTCCGGCCCTCGACACGACCGGCCGGACACCATGTTTTTTTTTATAAAATAATATTATTATAAATTATTATGTTATATATTCAAAATAATTTGTTATAAATTGGACGTTAGAATAAAAAAAAAACTCATTCAACTGAAGTTTAACAAAACAAAAAAAAAAACCATTCAACTTAAAAATGAAAAAAAAAGTACCATTGATGCGATTTTCGATTGTTCTGTAACACGAACGTGTCTGTCTTTTCAATCGAAAAATTATGTATTGATTCAGGGTCTACTAACACCCTGAATCAAAAATATAAAATAATAATTAGTAAATATTTTTTTTGCTAACAAATTACATATATATTTTTTAACTTTTTTTGCTAACAAATTACATATATATTTTTTAACTTTTAATATAAAATAATAATTAGTAAATATTCTTTAACTTTTTTAAGTAAAAATTAATTATTATTACAAAGTGAAATTTTTTACCCATTTAAATAGTGATTAATTAATTTAATAATATTTAGTAATTATTATTCTTCTGATAATTAAAAATATTTTTTATCCAATAAATTAATTAATATATTTTTTATTTATTAATATAATATTTTTTTGTTTTAAATTATATTAATTTTTTTTCATATAAATTAATTAATATATTTTTTTTATTAATATATTATTTTTTTGTTTTAAATTAAAATAATTATAATTTTAAATTATNGGGGGGCGTGAGTAGTAATATGGGGGCGGTGAATAACAATTAAGTTAGTAAAAATATTGATTGGAAACAACTCACAATTTGCACTTGTTATCTTATTTTTATGTGTAAAGACATCCTAAGACCAAAAACTTAAAACCAGATGAATAAAATAAAAAAAAAACCATTGGAAAAAACAAGACTGAGGTGGAGCGAGATACTACCCATGGCGAGACCAAAGTTGGTGAACTATGCCTTTTAATTTTAATGTACCTAATACTAAAATTCATAATTTTAAGCTCCTTTTATGTTAGTTTTCTATTACAAAATTCTCAATCAGCTTGAAACTTTTGGACCAAAAAGACTATATGGTGAATGATGTGTCCAAAAATTCATTTCAAATAACCAACAATATGAATTGTGTCCGAACGTAAACGAACACGAATTCCAAATGCCTATAGTCTCGTCTCGATTATAGCTGTAATTAATGATGAGAGAATGAAAGTTACCTTCTAAAACACTAGCAGTTGAAATACAACTCACGTTCTTAATCACTAATTCAACTTTTATAATCTATATTTTATTTGAAAAGTTTAAATTTCGTTTTTCGAAATCATAATTTAGTGTTGAAATTAA